TCTCACCCAGACTCATTCATACTCAGACTTAGGCATTCTCAGACCCACGACCGCCAGACGAAGACCGAATCTGGTGCCCAGGTTCGGAATCCTCTCCAGGAGGCCCCAGGGGGCCCCAGGAGGCACCCAGGCGGCCCCAGGAGGCTTCAAACAGTTCCAGGATGTCATAGGAGGTCCCAGGAAACTCCAGGAGCCCCCATGAGGCCCCAGGATGCCCCAAAAGGCACAGGAAACTCCAGGAGGCCCCAGGAAGCCCCAGGAGACCACAGTAGGCTCCAAGCGGCAGATACTCTCCCACTAAGCTTAGCCACGCGCAGGCTCATGCGCTTAGGCTCACTCGTACCACTGAGCCTCGTGCACACCCAACCTCATTCACACTCAGACTCACTCCCAGGCTATCAATATTCAAGCTCGTTTACTGTGGAAGTTTCTTGCGCTTGGCCACGCACGGCGGACATGTCAATGCAACGAGATGCACATCATACGGGGAGCTCCACGCAGTGAGTAAGTTTCCATATCGTAAGGGTGGGGTTCTTGTTATTCCCCATATCCTAAGCATGGGGTTCTTGATATTATTTAGACCGTGCGGAACGCGAGAGAGAACACACACAAACACACACGCACCTCCCACCTTCAACACCTCCCACCCTCAGGTCATCATTCTCTGACCCACTCACATGTAGACTCACTCATATTTAGACTCGCCCATACCCAGGTGTATTCGCTCCGAGATTCTTGATGTTCAGGTTTCTCATGCTCGGGATAACTTATGCAGACTGACTCACGCTCTTGGTATTTCCGCTCTTAGACTCACACACGCGTTGCGAGGATGTCTCATGCGACGCGCTGGTTTCAGTACCCCCAAACGGGGGGGGGACAGGGGAGGGGGTATTGCACTCCTCCGTTCGCGCCAAAATGGCGGGGATGTCTCGAGCAGTTTGCCTGTCTTGGTGCCCGACATCCTCTGGTTTCGGAGCAGATTTGGAGGATGTTTCGAGCGAGGCGCTCATTTTCGCATCCAAGGGGGAGCCGCCAGGGGGTATGGAATTTGTCCGTTCGCGCCAAAATGGCGGGGAGGACTCGAGCGGTTTGCCTGTTCTGGTGCCCGACATCTTCCGCTTTCAGAGCAGATTTGGAGGATGTTTCGAGCGAGGCGCTCATTTTCGCTTCCACTGGGGGGCTGCCAGGGTGTATTGCAGTCCTCCGTTCGCGCCAAAATGGCGGGGATGCCTCGAGCGAGTTTGCCTGTTTTGGTGCCCAACATCCTTGTCTTTCAGAGCAGTTTCCGAGGATGCCTCGAACGGAACGCCCATCTTCGCTTCCAAGCGGGAGCCGCCAGGGGTTATTGTATTCTTCCGTGCGCGCCAAAATTGCGAGGATGTCTCAGGCGGCTTGCCTGTTTCGGTGCCCGGCATATTCTGCTTTTGGAGCGGTTCTCGAGGATGTCTCAGGCGAGGCGCTGGTTTCAGTGCCTCCAAGGGGGGGCGCCAGTGGGTATATCACATGCCCGTTCGCGCCAAAACTGGAGGGATGTCTCAGGCGGTTTGCTTGCTTGGGTGCCCGACATCCTTCTCTTTCGGAGCGGTTCCCGAGGATGTCTCAGGTGAGGCGCTGGTTTCAGTACCCCCAACGGGGGACGCCAGGGGGTATATCACAGGCCCGTTCGCGCCCAGATTGGGGGGATGTCTCAGGCGGTTTGCTTGTTTGGTTGCCCAACATTTTTCTTTTTCCCAACCCTCCTTGGTTGGGTATTCGTTTTGAATAGAGCAGTGTGGTCTCCACTCCTTCCTTCCTCCTCCTCCCTCCCTCCCTGCCTCTTCCTGTCTTGCCTGCGGGGGGCTGCGATCTGTGAAACTGTCGCCATTTTCGAGGCCTGCTGGGGGGCCCAGCAACGTGAGGGCGACGCGCAGATTCAAATTAGACCTCGCCATCCCTGGGGGGGGGTTGCGATCTGTGAAACTGCCGCCATTTTCGAGGCCTGCTGGGGGGCCCAGCACAGTGAGGGCGACGCGCAGATTCAAATTAGACCTCGCCATCCCTGGGGGGGCTGCGATCTAAAAAACTGTCGCCATTTTCGAGGCCTGCTGGGGGGCTCAGCACAGTGAGGGCGACGCGCAAACTCAAATTAGACCTCGCCATCCCTGGGGGGCTGCGATCTGTTAGACCTCGCCATCCCTGGGGGGCTGCGATCTGTGAAACTGTCGCCATTTTCGAGGCCTGCTGGGGGGCCCAGCACAGTGAGGGCGACGCGCAGATTCAAATTAGACCTCGCCATCCCTGGGGGGCTGCGATCTGTGAAACTGTCGCCATTTTCGAGGCCTGCTGGGGGGCCCAGCACAGTGAGGCACGCGCAGATTCAAATTAGACCTCGCCATCCCTGGGGGGCTGCGATCTGTGAAACTGTCGCCACTTTCGAGGCCTGCTGGGGGGCCCAGCACAGTGGGCCACGCGCGGATTCAAATTAGACCTCGCCATCCCTGGGGGGCTGCGATCTGTGAACTGTCGCCACTTTCGAGGCCTGCTGGGGGGCCCAGCACAGTGGGTACCACCGCGGACTCAAATTAGACCTCGCCATCCCTGGGGGGCTGCGATCTGTGAAACTGTCGCCACTTTCGAGGCCTGCTGGGGGGCCCAGCACAGTGGGTACTCACCGCGGACTCAAATTAGACCTCGCCATCCCTGGGGGGCTGCGATCTGTGAAACTGTCGCCACTTTCGAGGCCTGCTGGGGGGCCCAGCACAGTGGGTACTCACCGCGGACTCAAATTAGACCTCGCCATCCCTGGGGGGCTGCGATCTGTGAAACTGTCGCCACTTTCGAGGCCTGCTGGGGGGCCCAGCACAGTGGGTACCCACCGCGGACTCAAATTAGACCTCGCCATCCCTGGGGGGCTGCGATCTGTGAAACTGTCGCCACTTTCGAGGCCTGCTGGGGGGCCCAGCACAGTGACACGGCGGATTCAAATTAGACCTCGCCATCCCTGGGGGGCTGCGATCTGTGAAACTGTCGCCACTTTCGAGGCCTGCTGGGGGGCCCAGCACAGTGACGCCACGGCGGATTCAAATTAGACCTCGCCATCCCTGGGGGGCTGCGATCTGTGAAACTGTCGCCACTTTCGAGGCCTGCTGGGGGGCCCAGCACAGTGACGCCACACGCAGATTCAAATTAGACCTCGCCATCCCTGGGGGGGCTGCGATCTGTGAAACTGTCGCCACTTTGGAGGCCTGCTGGGGGGCCCGGCACAGTGACGCCACACGCAGATTCAAGTTAGACCTCGCCATCCCTGGGGGGCTGCGATCTGTGAAACTGTCGCCACTTTCGAGGGCTGCTGGGGGGCCCAGCACAGTGTCGCCACGCGCGGACCCAAACTAGACCTCGCCACCTCTGGGGGCTGCGATCTGAGATCCCCGCCTTCGAAGTGGCTAGGGTTGCTCAGGGATTGTAACTATTCAGCTTTATCTAGTCCTTGTCCTGTAGCCAGTGTCCTGCGTGTGTCCCGAATTCGTCTGCAGACATATGTAACCCTCGTTCCGTCATCGCCCCCTTTATACAGTGTCCTAAACTATTTGCGCCTCGCGGGCACGTCGCCAGGGTAAGTTGGAACAGTTTCTGAGGATGTCTCGAGCGAGGCGTTGGTTTCAGCACTCCCAACGGGGGGCGCCAGGGGGTATATCACAGGCCCGCTCGCGCCCATATTGGGGGGACGTCTCAGGCGTTTTGCCTGTTTGGGTGCTCAGCATCCTTCTCTTTTGGAGCAGTTTCGGATGATGTCTCAGGCGAGGCGCTGGCTTCAGCACTTCCAAGGGGGGGCGCCATGGGGGTATATCACAGGCCCGTTCGCGCCCATATTGGGGGGATGTCTCAGGAGGTTTGCTTGCTTGGGCGCCAGAGGTTGTATCACGGACCCGTTCGCGCCCAGATTGGGGCGGGTGTCTCAGGCGATTTGCTTGTTTGGGTGCTCAACATCCTTTTCTTTCGGAGCAGTTTCCAAGGATGTCTCACGAGGCGCTGGTTTCAGCACTTCCAAGGGCCCAGATTGGGGAGGATGTCTCAGGCGGGTTGCCTGTCTTCGTGAAGCCCCAGGAAGCCCCAGAGAGGGCCCAGGAGGCCCCAGGAGGCTCCAGGAAACCATAGGAGGCCCCAGGAAGCCCTAGGAAGCCTCAGGAGGCCCCAGGAGGCCCCAGGAAACCCCAGGAGGCGCCAGGAGGCCCGAGGGGGGCCCAGGAGGCCCCAGGAAGTCCCAGGAAAGCAGAGGAAACCCCAGTAGACACCAGTAAGCCCCAGGAGGCCCCTGTGGGCCCCAGGAGGCCCCTGCAGGCCTCAGTGGGCACCAGCAGGCCCCAGGAGGCCCCAGGAGCCTCCAGGATGCTCCGTGAGGTTCAGGAGACCCCAGGAAACCCAAGGAGACCCCAGGAGCACCCCTGGAGGCCCCAGGAGGCCCCAGAAGGTCCTCATGCCGACCCCACCTGCGTGTTTTACGTATGTGCCTATGGATTGCCCTTCTCCTGTGGCTCGAATCCTACGTGTTTTTCGGGTCTCGAACCCTATGTGTTTTACATATGTTTCCAAAGTTCACACTCGGACTCACTCACAATCAGACTCACACTCACACTCACGCCAGTCACACTCTTACAACTCTCACACACACACACACACACCTACACTCCAATACCCAGACCACTCACATTCAGATACACTTACCATATGCTTAGCCATACTCCGACTCATACGCATCGACTCATTCACGCTCAGATTTGCCCATACACGGACTCACTCACACTCAGACCCACCCGGTCTTAGTCTCTCGTACTCAGGCCCACTCATGCCCAGACTCTCTCGCAGACATGCGCAGCGGAAGCGATCCAGGCAAATAGGTACACATGTGGGGATCTCCGCCTCGAGTAATTGTTTTCCCTCCTGCCCGCTTCCGAGCCTGCCGCGGCGCAGGGTCGGCGGCGTGCTGCTCGCGCCGAGATCAGGCGCCCCCCCCCTCCCGCGAGGCTTCCACTGGATCCTCGACGACTTCCTGGCCGTGGGCAGCTCCGCGAGCGCCGGGTGCTCAGGCCTCGGGGGGACGGGGGGTCTGCGATCGGCGCTCGGTCGCAGACCCCTGCTGCTGGCCCCCCGCTCCGACCGCCGCGTGGGGGCTGAGCTTCGGTCCGCGCCCCCGCTCCTCCCCCTCGCGGAGTTCGCGGCGTTGTGGACAGCATTTCGATCGCCCGTTGGGGGCATCGCAGGCGGAGCGCGTGGTGCCTCGATGTTTTGCTCGCTCCCTTTCTTTCTCTGCCCCCAGCGAGCGCGCCCCTCCGCCCGGACCCCTTTTATTTCGGCACGGCACGCACCTCCGCCCCGACCCTTTTTATTTCGGCACGGCACACCCCCTCCGCATCCCCCCCACCCACCAGGTGGCTCACCAGCCAGCGCGCCCCTCCGCCCCGACCCCTTTTATCTCGGCACGGCACACCCATCCGCCCCGACCCCTTTATTTCGGCACGGCACACCGCCTCCGCATCACCCCGCCCGCCAGCCAGCGCGCCCCTCCGCCCGGACCCTTTTTATTTCGGCACGGCACACCCCTCCACGGCACACCCCTCCGCTCCGACCCCTTTATTTCGGCATCCCCCCCTCACCCACCAGCCAGCTCGCTCCTCCGCCCGGACCCCTTTTATTTCGGCTCGGCAAACCCCTCCGCCCCGACCCCTTTCGGCACGGCACACCGCCTCCGCATCCCCCCACCCACCAGCCAGCGCGCCATTCCGCCCCGACCATTTTATTTGGGCACGGCACACCCCCCCCCCCGCATCCCCCACCCACCAGCCAGCGCGCCCTTCTGTCCCGACGCCTTTATTTCGGCACGCCCCCTTCCCCCCCCGCGCGCCCCCTTCACCCCGACCTTTTTGTTAGTTCGGCACGGCACACCCCTCCGACCCGAACCCTTTATTTCGGCACGGCACACACCCCACCCACCAGCCAGAGCGCCCTCCGCCCCGACACCGTTAATTCGGCACGGCGCACCTCTCTGCCCCGACTTTTTTATTTCGGCAGGCACCCCTTCCGCATCCCCACCCCGCCCGCCAGCCAGCGCGCTCCTCCGCCTCGACCCTTTATTCCGGCACGGCACACCCCTCCGCCCCGACCACTTTTTTTCGGCACGGCACACCCCCTCCGCATCCCCCCACTTACCAGCAAGCGTGCCCCCCCGCCCCGACCCCTTTATTTCGGCACGGCACCCCCCCCTGCATCCCCCCATCACCAGCCAGCGCACCCCCTCCGCCCCGACCCTTTTATTTCGCCCCCCCCCCCCGCGCCCCCTCCGCCCCGACCACTTTATTTCGGCACGACGCACCCCCTCCGCCCCGACCCTTTTTATCTCGCACGGCACACCCCCTCCGCATCCCCCCACCCACCAGCCAGCGCGCCCCTCCGCCCGGACCCCGTTTATTTCGGCACGGCACACCCCTCCGCCCCGACCCCTTTTATCTCGGCACGGCACGCCCCCCCCCGCATCCCCCCACCCACCAGCCAGCGCGCCACTCCGCCCCGACCCTTTTATTTCGGCACAGCCCCCACTCCCTCCCCGCGCGCCCCGCGCGCCCCTTCCGCATCCCCCCCACCCACCAGCCAGCGCGCCCTTCCGCCCCGACCCCTTTATTACGCCCCCCCCCCACTCACAAGCCAGCGCGCCCCTCCGCCCCGACCCCGTGATTGAATCGCTTCGCTCATTCCGCCGGCCCGTGATATGGCATCGCTGGTTTTTGTCTGTGTGTTCGTTGCCCATGTTGCGCTCTTGGGGGCGGGTGTCGTTCGGACGCGTTGCGTGGGGAGTTTTGATGGTGAAGCAGTTCCCTGGGGGTCGTCTCTCGATGGGGCGAAATAGAGTCGTCGTCAAGATGCTTCTTTGGGGGGCCTCTTGGGGTCTGTTGAGAGGCCGTTCGGGGGCGCCTGGGAGACATGTTTGAAGCCTTCTGGGGCTTCTTTTGGGCCTCCTGGGAGTCTCCTGGGGCCTCTTGGCGACATCTTGGGGCCTCTTGGAGGCCTCTTGGGGCCTCTTTGGGACCTCCTGGGCGCCTTCTGGGACGGAGGGCTCCATTTTTGAGTTCTCGGTATCCCTCCTGAGTCCCTCTTGGGCCCGTCTTGGGGCCTCTTGGTCCGTCTTGGGCGGCACTTGGGCCGTCTTGAGGGCTCTCTTGGGTCGTTTCGGCGCCGTCTTGGGAGCTTCGTGGGCCGTCTTGGAGCGGTCTTGGGGGCCTCTTGGGCCGTCTTGGAGCGTCCGGAAGCCGAAAAAGCCAGAACACAAAAAACATAGAAAAAAAAACATGAAAATCAACGATTTTGGCCTCTTGGGGCTCTCTTCGGAGGCCTCTTGGAAGGCTCTTGGGGCGTCTTGGAGGCCTCTTGGGCTGTCTTGGGGGCCTTTTGGGCCGTCTTGGGGTCATCTTCGGCGTCTTCGAGCGCTCTTTGGGCGTCTCGGGGGCCTCTTGGGCAGTCTTGGGGGCCTCTTGGGGCACTCTGAGCGCGCTCTGGGGAGCCTGAGAGGCCGCACCCAGAAGGAAAACCATCTCTGAGTAGACTTGGTCGGGCGGCGACCGGGCGTTGGTCGGGGTACTTTTCGCCGGGGGACCCCCAGGGGCCGCCCCGCGCGCGCGAACTAGAAATACTGTTAATACTGTTAACCAGTTACTCACAAGCCAGCGCGCCCCTCCGCCCCGACCCCTTTATTTCGGCACGGCACACCCCTCCGACCCTCCCCCGTCCTTCTTGTGCAAGAGCCATGGCACACGTGCCACGTGTTGTAGAGCATCCGCACCATGAAACTACCAACAGTCACAGGTCTTCTGAGCTTTTTACTTATCTTCCATGTGAAGGCATCGGTTTGTTTCATGTTTTTATGCTTTTCTGTTTTTCCTGTTTTCCCCTCCTAGCTTTCCTGGGCTCAGGGTGCCGCCATTGCAGATCCCCCCACAATTAAAACCCTTTTGTAAGGCCGCCACAACAATAACCCCTTTTGTACAGGCTGCTATGAGAGGATTCTGATTTTGGAAGCCATTGCAGATCCCGCACAATAATCCTCTCGCAAGGTCGCCACACAAGGAATCCTTGTGTAAAGGCTGCTGCGCAAGGATATTGATTGTGGAGCATCCGCACCATCAGGAATCTTGATTCAGTGTGGGGGGCTAACAATTTTAGAAAATGAAGAAAGCATCTGGTTGTAGTCGCATGAACGGCGGGTCCTACGGGGGGGCCCACCGAATCGCCTGCTGCGCAGCGGGAGCGCCAGGCTGTGGGCGGGAGGGAACCCGCGGCAGGCCCCAAGCGGACGGAGCGGTGCGCCTTCTTGACAGAGATCGGCATCACTCACATCGTCAACTGCTCCCAGGAGTTCCCGTGCCCCTTCCAGGACGACATCGCGAGTGCGTGCGCTTCTGCCGACCTCGTCGCCCTCCTGCCGACCTCGTCGCCCTCCTTGGCCGCTCTTGATGGCGGGACCATCCGTCTCGTGACCCCTGCCATTCTACACACGCTTCTCCTGCAGCGGCGCGGTGACGGCACCGTCGCGAAGCGTCAATCTGGGGCGTGCTTGGGCGTTCTACGCGCACTCAGGCTCTCTCTTTGTCTTGCACGGGCCCTCCGCCACTCCTGCCCTCCTCCTTGACGGGCTCAGCATGTCCTCCTCCGGCACTTCCGCGGCCTCCACCGCCTCCTCTGCGCCTGCTCACCGTCTTCGTCCTCTGGCGTCCTCGTCGCCTCCTATGCTCCTCGGCCTCTCCATCCTCCTCCACGCCCGCCGCCTCTTTCTCCGCTCTCTCTGCCCCCTCTCTGGCCTCTGGCCTCCTGGTCGGCGGTGCCAGGGTTCGGCGCCGTCGTCGCCGCCTCGGCGCCCTCGTCGCCTCCTCTGCTCCTCGGCCTCCTACTCCGCCGCTGCCGCTGCCGCTTTCTCCTCCTCCTCCTCCTCCTCCTCCTCCTCCTCCTCCATGCTCTCCGCTCTCAGGCCGGCCACCTCCGCCGTGGTGCCTCATCTGGATCCTGCCAGGGAGAGGGAGTCCTGGCGGACATAGGTGCTCGCAATGCGCCAGGCAACTGCGGCGTGCACGGCGATGCTCACCTGCTGCCAGAGGCCGTCCGCCAGTGCGGAGGCCCGCGACTCGCCGCCTGCCATGACGGCCAGCATGCGGACTGTCGCCTGCGCGCTCTCGCCCGGGCGGCCCCCCGGTTTGGGCACGCACGGGGAGATGTTGAACCCCGCGTAGCGCCGCCGCTTGGCCCTCTCTTTCTCCCCCGTCGCAGCTCCGTCCCGGCCAGCCGCTGCTCGGATCTGAGGCAAATCAGTGCGGACGCCTACCACGGCCACGTCAATGGCCACGCGCCTGCCTTTGTAGTTGATCCAGCACGTCCACTGCCTCGTCGTCCGCCGTCGCGTCCTCCAGAGCCGGCGCCCGCAAGCTCTCGAGCCGCTGCTCGCGGAACGCGCAGGGATCGATGTGCGCCTTCACGACGCGCCGCAAGATGTCACGGATCTCGCTGTTGCGTGCTTTTGGCCCTTCTGCTCGCAGGAGACCCTAAAGGCCATCCGGCTGCGCCCCGCAAGCACGCCGTGTAACTGAGTGGTGGCAGTGCGTCTCCGCACGCGCTGGAAAGACTATTCCGTCGGGCTGCCGCGCGATTCCGCCACCGCGCTGGGGCGGCCGGGGGGGGGCCTTAGAGGCGAGGGGGGAGGGTCCATGGACCCTTTCTTCCCCAAGCTTTGTATTTGGGATCATTTTCTGCTTGGGCGGCCAGAGTCGCACGGACGTGGCTACAAAAATGAACGCATCTTGGGCTCGATTCGTCGGGGGGCCCAAACCATTGCTTCGCAAAAAGCGAAAGGGCACGACGCATAGTTACCAACCGCTGCAAGCGCGGTGGCGGATCTGAGCAACCGTGCACAGCAGGCGCCTGCGCCGAACCATGCGCCATGTTCTGCCCGCGATGACCTGGTTGCAGGGCTGGGGCACTGACAAGAAGCTGCTTTCTCAGGCGCCGCTGGCTTGCCGCAGCCGTGCCCAGTAAGGTTCCTGGACACCGTCGAGGGTGGTCTTGCGCACTTGGAGGGCCACGGCGTCCATAATCATCCTCTGCATGCGCTTGTTGGGCTCGGCGGCGAAGTCCCGTTTCACGTCGCCGACCAGCGCGGGTGCCTTGGCCGTCCACTCAGCTCTCGCTTTCTACAGCTCCGTCGAGGGTCTGAGGAAAGCTGCGCGCAAGCCCTGCTCCGTGTACAAGGGAGCCGCGGCGCACCACTGCCAGGGGTGGTGGCGCTATCTCGCGTGAGAAGCAGCAGACGCCCGCGGCGTGGCCAACCCGAAAACGGCGCCTCCGTCGCGAAAGGGCAAGTTGCCAATCGTGATTTGCTCTTAGGTTAAGTAGACGCCGGTCAGCTCGGCCCACGTGTCTGCGACGGCACTTTCGTAGGCCGCGAGTGCCTGTTCTCTTCGGAGGCGCGGGCGGAGCAGGTGCTGGGAGGCCTGGGCCGTGACGTGCAGCATAATCGCGCCCGCGACCTGGCAGCAGAGCCCACGCTGTCTGGCGTCCTTGAGAGTAGCAGCCGTAGCGCGCACCAGAGGCGCCCTCCCGCTCTCCCTCTCCTTTTTTTCCCCTTCTCTCCCTGGTCTCTCCCTCCCTCCCTCCCGCTCCCCTCCCAGCCGCCTCCTCGGAAGATGCTGAATCCGTGCCGAGGAGGTCCCTGCGGAGTGCTCGGTCTCCGCCTGGGCTTACTCCGTCTGGATTTCCGCTCGTCTGATCGGATGTTAAGTCCGCGTGGAGTAAGTCCGCACTGAATGCTCGGCCTCCGTGATGACTGGGGGGGGGGGGGGGGGGTCGACGGGTATCATGGCCGGGCAATGATGTTTCCCCAGATCTCATGGCCGCCTCTTCCATGTTCAACACGTCCCTTGGCTTTCGGGCCATAATTTGCGAACCTCCTTCTCGGACGCCCCCCTCTTGGGCGCCCCCGGTGCCCTTCCTCCCTCGCCGACTCTAAAGCGAGCTGAGGGGCGTGAGGAGTGGGGGCGAGCGTGCGCCCGCGGCCGCGTCGGCTCAAGCGGCCGGCCGCCCAAACTTGATTGCGCCTCGCTGCGAGGCGCGCAATCGCTATCGAGACCAAAAGGATCTTCCAATTGCTTGGGATGGCATCTCCTCTCATACTGGGGCTATCGTTATTACGGTGCAACTGAGTTGGAGCACGGCTTCGCCTGAGGCGAAGCTGCTGGCTGGGCCTTCCAGCCCCCTTCAAACTTGGTAGCGGAGCTGGCCTATGGTGGTCAGCTCTAGCTCTACCCCTCGCCGTCCACGGCACTATCTGGTGAATTACATATACAGTGGAACATAAGGGTGCAGTTGGATTGCGCGGAGGAGCGTATACAACTACGCAGTGCCGCAAGGAAACTTGCAGCGATACCTCTGTCCAAGCGGAGGTCTCCCACTCACATAGTACATCCCTGCGCTATTACACTCCTGAAGTCCACTCACCTACTCTACTTGGAAATTTCTTCGAAGACATATATGCATGGAAACATGCGATGCGACGTGCTGCCGCTTCCGACCCCGCGCAGACTTACGACGACAAAACGTAGGTCCCCACCGACTGCATCCGACTACGACCTACGAGGCCACTGGATTGGGGTTGCTATCATTGGGCTCGTATGGGTCGCTATCGGGTGTGCGGTGGGACATATGCGGGGCGGGGGCGACGCTAGAACGACTGGGCCCCATTGGGACCCTGCCGGTCAAGTGCCATTTCGCGAGTTCGTCCGCGAAGTACATGCGTGGATCAATGTGACCAGAGGCAACATGACGCCCTCCCAGCAAGCCGCCGCGTTGCAGCGAGGTTTGGGAGGTCTCGCGCGGACTGAGGCCATGAGAGCCCGCCCAGCAGTTATTAATTTTGGCGTCATTATAGGTGGTCGCCACACTGATGGCGCCACCTACATTATGTTCCTTTCAAGTGCGAAGTTCGACAACCTAGAAGAGGAGCGCCAACTCAACTCTGGCACGGCTCTCATTGACTTTCGAGTCCATGCGGGCGAACGTATCGACCAGACGTTAGCGCGCTTCGAGATCGCCCGCTACGAAGCTGAAGCCGCCGGCTTCGATCTCCCCAACTTCCACATCCTAGCAGTAATTATATGCAGAACTTTTGGAGTGGGGACATCGCGTGCACGACTATTGCAGCCTCTGAACCACCGCATGCCGAGGGACCAACCACAATTTGACGCTCTACTTGAACGTCTGAGATCATATGCTCACATAGCTGAAAGGACCCCTTGCAATATTGGTGGTATCTTTAGCCACGGTCACCGAGCCGAGACCTCCCACGCAGAGGCCAACGCAGGGCAACCTGCCAGCAACGTCTGGAACGATGATCCGCCGCCAACTGAGACCACTACACTGTTGGCTCAGAATGGTGGAACGGCCTCGGGGTCGCAAGACCCTTGGGCCAGATCTAGAGGACCGCCCGACGCGGCTTCCCTTATACAAGCTATGACCCTAATGGGCTCAGCGGGGCAACCCGCCGAGTCCGACTTCGACTCCGGTACCGATGCGGGCGCGTCTTCCGATGATGAAGCTACCGCCATGGATTACTCTGATTTGCCTACATGCCTGACTGAAGAGCAGCAAGCTCACTGGTTATCTTTGGGCTATCAAAAACAAGCGTCGTGGGCGGAGGTTCATGAAGGAACCAGTGTGATTACATGGTAGGGGCATGCTAGCATTCCTAGCGTCTCTTACTGGACCTCAGTATGAAGACATGTTTTCAGGTGCTGGCAGAAACCGCAGGCATGCATCAGGCAGAGGAAAAGGACGACGAGGCAATCCAAAGGATGCCAACGGTAAAAACACAACATTTCCGACGCGAGTGCCCCCGAGGTGATGGGGAGGGGGGGGGGGGGGGGGGGGGGGGGGGGGGGGGGGGCAGGGGTCCGTCAGTATATCTGGCTCAAACGGACTCCGACATACAGTATGTTGATTGGGGGTCGCTTTTAGCCGACCCTGCCGACGGCTCAGCCACAATTGTTCATTTCATGGCTGCCAGGTATCCAAGTGCGAGCCTGACCCTCGAGAATTACGCCGACGAGCTGTTCGAGGGGGCGTTCGCTGGCCACGGCGACATCGATTTGGCAGAATGGCAGGGTGCACCCATCGCGGAGCAAACTGCAGATATTGAGCCCGTCGAAGGTGATTTGGGCATGGCGGGGGCGCCCGCGGACTCAGATTCTACCATTCCTGCAACAGATGAGGAAATGCATGCAATGCTTGGTCCTTGGGTGTTTGGACATCCCACAACCGCGGAATTAACCGATGGTGGTCCTCTGAGCGTATTCACTATGAGCTTGGTCATCATGGAGGATTTTAGTATAATTT